CTTCTCTTTTGCTGATTCTCCACCTTTCCCAAGCACAATGTCTCTTTCCAAGGAATAGCATCCCCTAACAATATACCTAAAGTATGTGAGATGAAGCTTCACCATCCTTGCCTCTAAGGAGAATTCTGCTCTTTCTATTTCTATAGACAAATCTATTTGTTCTTTTTATAGTTCATGAGATATTCAGTCCTCTACTTCAAGACCACAATTCAAAGACATCAATTCATCCTTATTCATTGTCTAGCTCTCAGAGGCACACGCACAGCCTAGTCTTTAAACTGGCATCATTGCTTTTCAGAACTTTGGAGAGATCCTTGACAGCCAACTTGCCCAATGAAATATATATCCTGATCTCTTGACTGCTGGTGCCACAGGTGTTGATGGGGGATCCAAGCAGCAATGCTGGCCTACTCACACAATTCACAGGATTCTGAGAGCAGGCTGGCAGAACAAATTAATTTTAAATTATAACCAAAATCCTCTTTTAGGCCTTGGTCTTAAAACGCCTTGTTCTGAACTTGCTCTAAGAACTTTTTCTGGCGCTGACCACTGCCAAGTCACGTAACTGATTCCATCTCTTATCTGATCCTTTCACAAAGTAGCTATTTGCCAGGATACACTAGGTCTACAAGGACATCTTTTTTTTTAAAAAAAAGAAATAAAATAACATGCTAGCCTAACTAAATTCTAGTTTTCTCTAGGCAGTTCAATTCGTCAAGTGCTTCAAAATAATATAAAAAACCAGTATGTCCTTTAACAATTCATGGTTAATATGAAATTCTTCTTAAAGGTAGATTGCATATTAGTCATTAACTACAAGTCTTTTATTCCAGTAAACTTATCAAATAAAAGGGTTTTTTTCCTAAGGTTCAAATTGCTTATGAAAAATTTACCTTATAAGGAAAGATAATTTCTAAATTACATTTAAGACTATTGTTTTAACTTTGGGGCAACAAAATAACTGCACAGATATTCATAAATACTTTAAATAGAATTGACCATCTGGACAATATACTAGCACACTAGACCAACAGGTATTCAGAATTAAATTATTAATTTTAAAGTAAATTTATACTCTCATATTGGTTATCATATATATTTTACCTTGAGAAGGTATGTGGGAATATTGCTGAAATCCACTGGTAACTTCAGAAGAAAACGAGCTGAAAACTCACCAGTCTGTAGAAACAAAAATATAGTAAGATTAAAATAAAAACCAGATATAATGTGACAGCTACAGCCCGGGCCACAAGTTCAACCTGATCAAGATGTAGGCATCTTTAATTTGGGTTTCCAAATACCATGCAAGCAAAAAAGGTTGAAGTAAATTAAGCGGGGATCAGAAAATAATTATTAAATTATTAGTTACTAAAAAAGCACAATCAGAATTTCTAAATCTGCATTTTAAATGTATCATGAAATTATAAAGCAGTAGTATTACCTCTTTGTTTCTTAAAAGCATGAAAAGAATATATGAATATATGATTATGATTCTAAAAAGTCAAATAATAAAGATAGACCTGCTCCTTTTGCTAAAGCAGTGAGACCACTTTGCTAATTTTTATTACTCACAATAGTGAAATATCTATCACCATACTTTATAGTACAGCTAGAGGCACATACAAAAGTCAAACTCTACCAGTACAAAGCAGTACATCAGCAGATATTCCAAATGAGATTCTAATCTCTTAATACTTTATTAGCATAATTATACAAACTAATAGTTTTAAAATGGGAGGGAGAAAATACAAAAAATGGGATCAAAAGACACTATGAAAATGGCACTAGAATGTAGAGGCCAAAACAAAGGAGGGGGGGGGAATTGTGAAGCAAGAATGAGGAACAGAAGTTTTCAAAGGGCCTCTCAAAAAGACGGAGCAAAGTATTATAATGAAAAGTGCAAAGAGCTGGAGGTAGAAAATAAAAAGGGAAAAACATTGTCAGTATTTCTCAAACTGAAAGAACTAAAGAACAAATTCGAGCCTCAAGTTGCAATACTGAAAGATTCTATGGGCAAAATCCTGTATAATACAGAAAGCATCAAAAGAAGATGGAAGTAGGAATTATACCAAAAGAACTGGCAAATACTGAACCATTCAGGAGGTAGCATATAATCAAGAACCAAAAGTAATAGAGGAAGAAGTCCAAGCTGCACTGTAAGCACTGGCAAAAATTAAGGCCCCAGGAATTGATGGAATATCACTTGACATGTTTCAACAAATGGATGCGGCCATGAACATGCTCACTTATCCACGCCAAGAAATCTCAAAAATAGCTAGCTGGACAACTGACTGGAAGAGATCCACGCTTCCAAAGAAAGGTGATCCAACAGGATACAAAAATTATCAAATAATATAATGAATATCTCAAAAAGTAAAATCTTGCTGAACAGCTGGAACAGTACATTGCCAGACATTCAAGCTGGGTCCAGAAAGGCCATGGAACTAGGGATATCATTGCTCATATTAGAGGGATTTGGGCTGAAAGAAGAGAATACCAGTAGGATATTCACTTGTATTTTACTGACCATATAAAGGTGTTTGACTGCATACATCATAATAAATTATGACTAATGTTGAAAAGAATGGGAATTCTATATGTCACGTTAATTGTGCCAATGGAAACTTATACATAGACAAGAAAGCAACTGTCAAAACAAAACAAAGAAACACTGCATGGTTTCAAATCAGGAATGGTGTGCATCAGTGTTTCTATCCTTTCTCTATGCCCATTCAGTCGATATACTGAGCAAATCATTGGAGAGGTAGACTAAAGAAAGAAGAATGTGGTATAAGGATTGCAGGAACATTTGTCAACAACTTGTGCTATGCAGATGTTACAATTTTGCTTGCAGAAAATGAATAATATATGAAAAGCTTTCTGCTTAAGATCAAAGACTATGATCTTCAATATAGATTTAATCTCAACAGCAAGAGAACAAAAATTCTCACCATTGGACCTACAATTAACATCATGATAGATGGGGAAAAGATTAAAGTTGTCAAAGATTTAATTTTACTTGAGTTCACAATCAACACCCATGAAAACAGCAGTCAAAAAATCAAAAGATGTGTTGCACTGGGAAAATTTCATGTCAAAGATCTTTTTAAAGTGCTAAGGAGCAAAGATGTCAATTTAAAGACTAGGTGCACAAGATATAAGCTGTGGTCTTTAATTATTTTCTGTGCATCTGAAAGTTGGACAGGGAAGGAAGATGACCGAAGAATCATGTCCTTGAGTTGTAGTGCTGAAGGACAGTACTGAATGCCAAGAATTGACAATAGAACAAATCTGTCTTGGAGAAAGTGCAACCAGGGTGCACCTTAGATACAAGGCTGATGTAACTTCATCTTACATACTTCAGACATATTGATGGGGGGCAGTCCTATGAAAAATATATCATGTTGGGAAAAGGAAAGGGGAGGGGGAAGAGGAGAGGGGAAAGGAGAGAGGAGAGAGAGAACCTCAACAAGCAAGATTGTGGCTATAACAGTGGGCTCAAGCATATCAGAGATTATGAGGCTGATGTCGATAGGGCAAAGTTCAGATCTGTTGTTCTTCGATTCTCTCTGTAAGTTGCAGTGCACTCAATGGCTCCTGTTGTTGTTATGTGCCCTTAATTCAGCTGCAACTCATAATGACCCCATGTACATTAGGCCTGAAACCTGCTCTATCCTTTGCCAACTTTACTGTCTACCCTCATTACCCCAGTCACTGAATCAATCCATCTCATCAAAGGTCTCCCTCTCTCTCTCCATCCCTCTACCCTCTCAAACACCAAGGACCGGTCCCTCCTTGCAATGTGCCCAAAGTATGTCAAACGAAGCCTGAGAATCCTTATTTCCAAGAAACAGCCTGGCTTCACACTCTCTACCTAGGACCAACAGTAATTTTTAGTAATTTCCACTGTAAACTAGTATCGACAGAAAAAAAAAAAAAACCTATTAAAGTTTGACAATTTAAAGCCCTTAATTAAGTTGTATATAGAACCCTGAATTCTTAAAAAAGAAAATTTATCTCATTTTTCTTAAAGGTTCTCTTCTAAATATTTTTTTAAAAATTTTTGTCATAGTCTAGAGGAAGTGACATGTTTTGACATATCCATTCAAAATGCATGTATATAATGATACACTGTGGAAACTATGCAATGACCTCCTAAGATCTGATAAACCGAATAACTACAAGAAGATGAAGAGTGGAATGCAACACAACTCTCAGTAGATACCACAGTAATGTCCCTAGGGTGTGACCTCTAACATCTTTTTCTCTTTTATCACTACAGATAAAAGGGAAGGAGAGTGAGCCTAGAAAAGCGTCTCAGTACCAGCAAAGTGGAATGTGTCTTTTTAGACCCAGTCTGCTTGATATCAGGGGAAGCCAAGACACCTGGGGATCTCTAAGGAAAGCCAAGCCTGCAGATGCTGAAGGAAATGAGGACCTTCAAACAGAACAAAGATAGAGGACCTTCCCTTAGAGCTGGCATCAGGCATTTGGACTAAGCTTTCTAAACTGTTGAGAGAATAACTTTCTGTTTGCTATAGAATCCAATGTCAATATCTACCATGTTGTTGCTGTTGTGTACAGCGGAGTCAGAACCAACCCATAGCTGAGCATTTGGAAGAGGAGTATTCAGAGGCAATTAATCACAGAGGAGGAGATTATCCATCCTTCTCCCACAAAGCAGCTGGTGAATTTGGATCCTGTGCCATCGGGATTGCAACGCAGCTTCTTGCCACTAGGCCACCAGTGCTCCACTATTTTATGGGGCTCCTGATGGTCTAGTAGGTAAAGGGCTGTGCTACCAGGCTAAAGGCATGCAGTTGAAATCCACCAGTTGCTCCACAGAGAAAAAGATAGGTAATCTTTCCTATGATTGACAGCCTCTGAAAACCTGCTGTAGGGTCAGCTCTGAGTCAGTTCCAACTCAATGGTACATAACAACAATAATATCACAATTTGTTTGGACAAAGAATTCCATAGATGATGTAAATGAACTAGTAATGACTCAAAAGGGCAGATCTCTATCCCTTAATATTGTGACTGCTTAAAAATTCCCAATGTCTCCATTTCCTTCCCTCTCCATAAAACAAAACAACACATACTCGTTGAAACACTTGTTTAAGTGTGTTGTTAAAAGCCAAAGAGTTGGTCTTAACTCACAATCAACACTCTTGGTACGAGCAGCCAGGAAATTAAAAGATGAATTACACTGGGAAAGTCTGCTGTCAGAGACCTCTCCAAAGTACTGAAGAGCAACGATGTCAGTCTGGAGATTAAAGTGTGCCTGATACAGGACATGGTCTTTGTAATTACTTGCTATGCATCAGAAAGCTAGACAATGACTAGGGAGGATAGAAGGAGAGTTGATGCCTTTGAGCTGTGGTGCTGCGGAAGAATACTAAATATACCATGGACTGCTATGAGAACAAACAAATTCATCCTGGAGAGGGTGAAGCCAGGCTGCTCCTTGGAGGCAAGGATTCTGAAGCTTTGTCTGACATACATTGGACATGTTGCAAGGTGTGATCAGTCCTTGGAGAGAGACATCATGCTCGGGAGGGTGGAGGGACAGTGCAGGAGAGGAAGACCCTGGATGAGATGGATTGATTCCATGACTGGGGTAATGGAGGTAGGTGTGTCAGAGACAATAAGATTGGTAAGGGATAGAGCAGGGTTTAGGGCTGTTGTACATAGGGTCGCTATGAGTCATAGGCAACTCTATGGCACATAACAACAACAATTCATATTGACACTATATATCACAGAACTGCACTGCATACACAGCATGCATTTTAAAATATTTTTATTGGTAGATGGAGAAACACACCTAAGCATACATGCATACCTCTTACAGATAATTCTACAACAGTAACATTTTCTTTCTACAAACATTCCAGCAATTGACTTCAAGGCCCTGGCCTTAATTTTGAAACCCTGGCTTAATGCCTAGAATGCAGACAGAAATATAAACCTTGAGCTTAGAAGATAACAATGATAACTAACTGGGTTTCTGTTGTTTGATCTCTTTTTTACAACATCTCTTAACTTGCATAAATCTCTGACTAAGAACAGAGAACTTCTTAATCATCATAAGCTCAACCCTGAACAGAAAAGGCAGAAAAATAAGGGAATTAAATGGACAGGATCAAAGCTGAGGCAGGTCCCAGAAACTAGTGTGC